CATCTTGGTAGTCCTGAGTAGTTCTGTAATATTACTTGTATCCATGAGCGGCAAACAAACACACAAAACGAGAGAGGACAACTGCCCAACTAAACAACAAAAAAAAAAATCGGTATACGACCACACCAAAAGGACAAAAAGGACAAAACCATCCGACAAGGAGTTAAAACTATAGCACGAAACAGTCATACATATTCCAAGTTAAAACGGCAACACCTTACGGACAAAACGGCCCCACATTTCGGACAACACGGCCCCACATTTCGGACAAAACAGCCGCATATTCCGGACAAAACGGCCCCACATTTCGGACTAAACGGCCACAGATTTCGGACAACGCGGTCAAACATTTCGAAAGAAAGACCTATCCGATAAAACAACCTCAACCTCTCCGACAAAGTGCAAAAACTGTAAGACGAAATGGTAACATATAGTAAAACCAATTTTTGTTTATCACTTCAAAAAATAACGTGAGTGAAAATTATAAAGCAAGTAACGGTTGCCAAGAATGTGTTGTGACATCGTAAGGATATTATCAAGAAATTACGGACATCAGTTTTTTCAAATCAGGTCAAATTCAGCTTTGTTTCGTGTTTTGCTTCTTCGTATGTTTAAAAAAGTGTGTAATGTCCTGAAATACATAATTTTGGTAAATGTGCTCACAGGAACAACGTGAAATAAGTACAAATGCATAATATGTAACATTTGGAAAGAAATATTCATCTTAACTTTGCTTTCTTAATGTACATTTTTTTTTTTTTTTTTTTTTTTTTTTTTTTTTAATTAAACACTATTCAAAATCAAAATTGCAACGGAAAATGCACCTATATATCGAAAGCCAAGCTTAAGTTTGTTTTATTTTCAGATTATGGATATTCCATGGGGTTCATATCAAATTTACGAACTGGAACATCTTACAAAATATCCGATATGCGCATGACTCACTCCGAAGCAGAACTGGAATGCCTGAATTGGAATGCCACTCTTATTGAATTTACGTACCTCTCACAAATTACTGAGTTGACGACTGCAATATCTGAGAATCCTTTGCTAGGTCTGTAGACATATCGAACATCTTTCTTTTTTTCTCTTTTTGCAAAACAACATTTATTTTAAAGAAAGAGGGATTGATTGCATCTTTTTCCCTACTACATAGCTTATAGTTCATAAACAATTACATGTAATTGTAATCATATATACAAAGCAAAATAAAACGCCACAAAATTATATTTTGTCTAATGATTTTGTTATCTAAATTAATTCGTATTTATGTAGTATTCATGTACATTTTTTTCAGCAAACGAAAAAGGTGTGTTCGTTGCTGGGAAAGGAAGAAATTACAACTTTGTTTAT